GTCGTGATAATATATCAAAGAGTAAATGTCATAGTTGGTTCTTCCATTTTAGCTATGGTTTTAATTTGATTCATGAACTTTTCATTGTCTGAATTTAGTCCCCCAACTATAAATTTTGTCTCAATTAAGTCATTTTGTCCATTTCCACTATTGAATCAACGCCGAAATGAATCAGATTGGTCCAACCTTCGATTGATCTAATGGTGTAAATATATGGTAGAACTTAATTTAGATGAACTAAATTGGGACAATTAAAAGTTCAGCAATCAAATTAAAGCCAAAACCAAAGTTTAGAGACAAATTATGATATTTCCCTTATATCAAACTTCTAGTGCACTCTGAGGAACCTATTTTTTGTGTTAATGGCAGTTAAATTATGAATCTCAAAGGCTAAGTATATGATCAGTGTGTGCAAAGTTGAATGCATATATAATGAGAAGAAATCTTTAGATACAAAGTGTCCATGGTTTGGTATAAGAATTTTATTAATTACCGTAAATAGACTTTTAGTTAGAGGAACGGGCTGTGACAGTGTTCGATAGAGTTTATGTACCTGTCAATCTATAGAATACTAAAATTATAGGCAAGTTTTGAGTACTCTAAATTCTTTCAAGTCTTTGTACTTTAAATTCTTTCAAGCCCACTTTTAATCAAACATATATATTCGATTAAGTCTTTGTATTAGCTTCTTAAATTAAGTATGAATAATATTTTCGTTTTACCCCCTCTTGTTCATAGTGGCTTGACTTATATAGTTCTTCAACATGAGTGTTGAACTCGAATCAAAATCTACCACAATCCAAAATGAATCGAAGGTTTGTACCATACTGAAAAAAAGATATAACTGCAATTCAATTATGCCAAATTACAACTCGTTTGGATCAAAATTAAGACTCAATTCAGTTTAAAAAATCCAAGATCGGTGCTAATGGGTTACTATTGATTCACAATGTTGCAAGCAATTCTAATCAACATCATTGAGTCATAACCTGAATCGTTTGAATCGTAGTTTGACCCAATTAAATCTTAACTTGTGACACAAGAAGAAAAAGTTGCGTTTGATTCGGTAGGCTTTCCCTATGTATGGCGGTTTTTCTTTTTTTTTTTTTTTGCTGTGTCCTAAGTATGGATGATCATAGAGAAAGGATCGGGGTAATTTAATGACACCCGATGGATTTTTATGTTCTCCTGGGTCTGGCTCACCATCCCCATGGACTGAAACAAGGCTTTCGGTGTAGGTATGAAGGTCTAGGCAACGAAAACTATGGGCTAAGATTTGGAGATCCATAATAACAAGTTGGGTATTAGGATCATACAAGACCAGGTGGCCAGTTGTAGTTTCAAGAAAGACCTCATCATTCTTCCACAGCCCAGCTGGAATCATCATTCCATCTAGCGGTCCGATACTTAATTGCTTGATCCAACATCCCATTCTGTCCTCCTCCTCCATCAGTACCCACACGGTAACTGATGACTGCTCAGCTGAGTCCCAGGCATCTAGTGGCACTCGTGAATGAGAATAAATCAGCGCAATAGAGCCATTGTACAACGTAAGAATCTCGCATTCTGAGTCTTGGTGAAGATCAGGTGGCCCTTGAATCTCTTTGAACTCCTCTTTCCCCATGTCAAACGAAACCAGCTTTCTATATACAGATTTAGACCACCAGTAATAAACACCATTCAAGTAGGAATCGAAGCAAGAATCTATCAAAAAACGTAGACAATCGGGAGCATCACCCTTGAAATCTTTCCATGAATCTGTGCTCAAAGTGTACACAGCAACATGTATGGGATCCATCAATGGGCCCCATTTATCGGTGTTCCTGTCATCAAAAGTCCGAATCCAAACTACCTTGTAATCATCACTGGTGGGATCTAACCCGAATCCAAAGCCGCAGTGACGAGGGAACCAATCACGCGGAAACAATTTCGTGCGCAACAATGGCAGAGACCTAAATGCTCTTGTCGCGGGATTCCACAGAGCAATGCGTTTACTTTTGTCACATAAGCAAAAAACACCATTAATAGGACCACCAAGCCGATTAAATACGGGGAAGGATATGCCCATATTGTGATATGTGGGCACTGTAAGCGTTTTGTCCGGGAACAAGACGATGTCCCCCATGTCCCTAAGCTCATTGTGATAGTATACCACCAGACGGGCATTGTCCTTGTTTTCGTTGTTGTGTTGTAAATGAACGGAAATGAAAGCGGGACTATCAATCAGATTTTTCCAAAATTTGCAGACACACCTGAATTGCAGCAGAGATTTCACAGACATTCTTGACAATATCTCGATCAACACATCTTCGGCCAAATACCCACCTTTGCTCTCCATTTGGCCCATTTGACTGTATGAGTAAGATGGGTCTTCTCTTCTGTGTATGAGAGAGAGAGAGGCCTCTGGAATTCACCAAGGAGCTAGAGAGAAAGGTTTTTTTTTTTTTTTTGTGAGTGTTTTTTTATGTCTCGAACAGCTGCTAATTACTTAATAAATAGAAATTTGTTCCTTCCTTAACTCCTAAGCAACGAATTAATGCATTCACACTGAACACATTTACAGCATTGATTGACATTTAAGTTCCAAGCCAAAGTTATAATTGGACCGAATTAATGCATTCACATTAAATCGAGAAGAAAATATGGACTAGTCCTATTATTTATGGTAATGCCATTGACGATCCTATAGTTGTGTTTTCTATCTGAGACACTCCCTGGACAACTACAATATCGATATTAGCAAAATAAAACTTTTAAAATCCAGATATTTGTTAGCATTTTCCTTAATCATTGAAGTGTATGATTAATTGGGTAAAATAAAGCGTATGATATGGTATTTTTTACATGGTATCCGATTCACTTCTAATATTTTTTGTCTCTAATTTTTTGCTTTGATAGATTGGACTTTTTCAAATGTCCTTTAGAGTCTTATTGTATGATTATTGGCTTTCCATAGAACTACAACTATGTTTTGGCATATTTTGATTGTTTTCACTCATCATGCCTCACTAACGAAAAGAACTTGAATATTCTCAAGATAAATCATAATTATTATCACTATATATACTATAAGGTGGTGTAGTAGATTATTCCAGAGGCATAACCTTTTGTAAAATGAACAAATTTTTCATGGTAATTGGATTCAAAACCTAATACACCTATCCTTCGAATCATAATTTATAAGTTGATTGGAGTTCATATTTCTTAATTGTACTTGTAAATATGATTATACTTGTTTCTTATTTGGTAAATTAGTGGGGTGTGTTTTAATCAAAGGGTGCCACGGGGCACAGTGGCAGCATTTGGCTTTCTGATTATTGAAAACTCAAGGAAGAAATTTTGTAAAGGAGGGACTTTATAATTACCCTGTTCCTATAAGTAAAGCATCAATTAGTGCGGGATTTAAATTTTAATTAGGTGCATGGAACACAACTTGTAACATTTAATTGAAGACAATACCATTATGAAAAACTGTATTTGTAATTCCCTAGCCCAAGGGTGGCTCTGCCCTGTCTCTGTCAGACGTCGGTTGCCTTTTGTGTCCTGGCATTACACAACTATCACTGTAATACTTTATTAGATAATGAGTTTTTGTTAACAAATCCTTACCGTAATTTTTGCATTTACTCATTATCCTCTTCTAATTTTATTCACTTTATCCAAAATTTAATCGGAAAATCTCATAACTTTACATAGAAAACTTATTCCTTCTTCAAGCTCTCCACTGCTAGAGGATCTCCACCCCCTCCCTCATACCAGGTAATTGCCACGTATGATCCAATAACTAGTTCAAATTTTTTTTGATTGGTTCGCTTCTGTTAGTTTTTATTTTGGATTTTGCTTATTATATACTATTTTACGGATGAAATTATTGGGAGAATAGAATTATGAAATCCATCTGGAAAGCAAATATTGAATTAAATATGATTTACGCTGACATTTTCTTTTTTGTGAATTCGTCTTTGAATCGGATCATTTTTCAATTTAATTGTTGCAACAATGGTGGAGAATTGAGTATAAACAACAAAAAACCTGTGATATGCACTGCTGTTGTGCACTTGTACTGAAACTAGAGTCCATGCTCTGTTCAGATGCTTCCTTGCATGTGTATCAATTATTTGTATCCCTCAAAGTGCTGCACACCTCATATAGTCACTTGTGGATTATTCAAGAGTTGCAAACATAATAATATGAAAAGAAGAAGAGAGAAGGGGGGGTGGGGTAGCCATATAAGGTGTCTCCATGTGACTATACTTGTAGTAAAGATGATTAACTGCTACTGTAGTAAAGATGACTACACATATTTACCCTTAGAATTGATGCAAACACAGGCTTTATTATCTCATGGAGTATGTTGTATCAGCAAATCATAGTTTATCATGGCTCTATATGTTGCAATATAGCATAGTTCTATGCCGGATTGTATTCCGTAGTTCTACATTTTGAATTGTAGTTTATAAGCTGATTGGAGTTCAAAGTTCTCAAATAATCTAAGACTTGACGTTGAATGTAGTATTGCTATTTTTTATGCTCTTTTTATGATCTAGGATCCAAGGAATGGCTTCATTAGGGCTTTGGTTGTTCATGAATTTTCCTGGATTTTTTTTTCCTTTTGGGAGGGTGGGGGAGGTGTTGTTCAATACATTTGAGGACATTACAATGTATGTTTTGCAAAACCAGCATCTAAAAAATTTGCTGCCCGTGACACTGTATGGCTGCTATGACAGTCAAAAGTCCATTGTTAACCAATTTTAGGATGGCTGCATGCTAGGACGTATTGGAATGGCTTAGGGACATTATGAGAGTTGTCAAATTTTCAACTTCATTATTCTAGAATTGCATCAAAGTTTATCCATTCCAAACGGCACATATATAACATAAACGTAATAATATTTTTGTATATATTATGGTAGATAGGAACTTTTACAGCAGAAGTACTTTAATACTGATTTTGAACCTACAACCAGTCTGTTTTTTCTTTCATAATACGTTCGCCAGTGTTATTGTGATGATGACTGTGAACCAGTTCCTTCAAGTCTTCGAGCAACAACGACCTTGCGGAAATGAAATGTAATACATGTTAGTATCTGCTTTTAAGATAAACAAAGGAAGAATAAGAATTCAAAAGAAAGAGATAGATAGGAGGAAACAAAAGAGGCAAAACAAACACATGAACCGACCTCAGGGGAATAGGATATCTCCCGTCCCACAAGTCCACCTTTTAACCTTCCATGTGCATGAGACGGGCTATTTGCTTTAGGGTGAAAGCATACATATACCTCTCTAAGCAGAAAATGGCCATTCTTTTTGTGGCATGTAAGCCAAATTTTATTGCCGATCCCGAGAACATTTTCAAAAGCTTTAAAAATGGCTTTTTGTGTGTAAGGATTGGAGGAACCCGGAAAAATGTTTGCATCTTGAAGGATATTGAGAGGACTGATGTCATTCTTTAGTTTGATAGCCTTCTTATAGTAATCATGGGGTTGGAACTCCTTTTGACAGGAACCATGTCCCGTCCATTCGTGCCACCAGAAGTCCTCATTATGCATCCCAGCGTTGAGAGCTGGCCAGTACTTATCCATATCTCCTCTTATGTCCTGGTACTGCATATATATATATATATATATATATATATATATATATATATAACAAAAAGCGAAGAATGGTTAGAGAATGAAGCAAATTAAGCCGTATCACAACAGTGTAGGAACTAGGAAGAGGAGTTGGAGCAAGGAAACAGTGATAATACAGGTGTTGGGCTTTTCTTGTATTTGGTTTTGCAATTTTCCAAGGCTGTGTCCATCTATCGCTGCTGGCCATAAACCATGGATTGTGAAGTTATGAGGAATTGGTGCGACACATGGAGTAGATTGGCAGAAAGTGTTGGGCCATGTCTGGACAAATTCCAAATGGTGAACCGGAGACTGTGCGCCGCATGTAGTGAAAGCACATAGCACCACCAAGAGGAGTACATGAAATATGGTAGAAGACTTCATTGTGTCTAACAACATTTGGGGTTGGGGGAGGACTTAGTTCTCATATTTATAATGGCAGATTCTTGATTCTGGACAACCACTTGCATTGTGGATGGAGCTTTCACAGAATATTTGGTTCATTAAGTAGTGATGTGATCTTCTTGTCTTTTTTGCATTGACTCAACCCAGAAATCATGTGAGCAACACACCATATATGTATATCTTTCAACTTCACCGTTGTATTACTTTATCTTCTTCTGCACAATGTCATTGAAAACTCTATGCACAGTGTATAGTTTTAGCCCGTTATATCTTTCAATTACTGAAAAAGTGATCAACTGTCGATTGGCCTATGGCCATCAAGGACAGCACCACTCTCTAAAATTGGTGTGGGACCACAAGGTAATTGAGGTAACAATCTCTTACATAGGCCTCCAAATTTGTACGCCCTAGTACAGGGAAAAAAAGAGAGTTGTTTACTATGTGAGGCTTTTGATTAAAAATTAAAAAAAAAAATGCGCATCAACAAGTTTTATATTTGGGATAAGGATACAATACATTTAAAAAAAAATTGGCACCAAAATTGAGTAGTAGCATAAGATCTTGAATTGATGAATTTGTAATTGTTGATCATGAAAACAACAAAGTAAAAGGAAATTATCGCGTATCACATTTTTATTGGACAAAAAAATAGAAATATAATAATGAATAATAATTTTTCGGTACCATAGCTGGACACTATATACTACACTTGACTAGTGTAAGTGAGCTTCGTGAACCCTCAAACTACATTTTCCTATTCAACATGGGTTAATATAGCTACAGGCAGTCTCGAGGGTAGCCCATATCTAACTACACCCTAGACGCAATTGACTAATTATTGACAATGGAAAACATATATATTTAGGATGCAATTGACTAAACAATTTCCGAATTGTTCGCGTTTTCATGCTTTTCATATCGTGTAATCTCAAACATTTAGGATAAGTATATCACACAGGTAATATCTCGGTTTTGTTAACTCATGCATGATCTGTATATTAAATGTGTAAACACGATATGTTTAAGTTATTCTTTTAATAATCAAGACGTGTTAGTTTTAGATAGATTGACACGATCGATTAATTGAGTGGCATTTGTGTTAGTGATATGTAATTCAAATCTAAATATAACATGATATGATACACAAAATTTACGTCTTAGTCTTTTGTTATCTCGACTGCAAGTGGCATGTAAATGAGAATGAGAAACCAAAAAAAAAAAAAAGAACAAAAAAAGAAAAGAAATGTTGTCTTAAACAGATAATTAAAGGAAGAATATAAGTCTAATGGTACTCTTTGTTTTATAAAAGTTTTGTTTTTTTAGAAAAAAAAAATACTGGATAGAATGTCTCAATCAAGATTCAATTGAGAACTAGGGCATAGTATAGGTTTTCTCTAAGATTAACTCGGGTGATTTGGTTGGTACATGAACAATTAATACAACTTATTTACTCTCGCAAGTCTATTATGAAGATAAGACTATGATATCGAAAGTGTATTTTTTCTTTGATATCGTACCACAAAGTAATACTTTTTAGTTGTCATTTCTAAACTTTTATGGTGTTGTATAAACTCTGTTCTCCTTGATGGCCACAGACCAACCAACAATACACAACTTCATCTTGTGCATCAATGTTATCGTTTGACTCGACACCTCCCCCCTTCTCTTTCTCTCTCTCTCTCTCCCAAAAAGGAAAAAAAACCGTCTCACTCCCCCTATCTCTATCACTCCATCTCTGTCTTTCTCCCCCTCCCAAATCTCTCTCTCTCTCTCATACTAAATGTATTACTCTATTCATCCAAATGTACCATTTTTTAACAAATATTCATCAGTATAGTAGTTGTTGGTCATTGTACACTTTAATGGTTATCCCAAACTAAAGAATTTTGCAAGATAATCCTGATCGTCAATCTCCATAACTTTTATCTATCACTGGTCAAGAGAAGGTTAATTGAAAGAAAGAATAATGAAGATTTCTATGAATTCATACATTTAGACAAATGCAACTAATTTTTTTTTTCCTTTTTGCCATTCAAAATATGTTGTTTGAGGGAATTGTTAGATGAGTCATATTGGATTTTTAAATTTATTTTCGGTCTGTATGGCATTACAAATTATGGAGCTACATATTTTGAATATTGCCCGGGAAGGGCCATGATTTGCATCTAGTGAACGATATATTAATTTTTTCGGTTTATTGAAATCTCAAATAATCATTTTGGGGTAAATAATTCATAATGACCAAATTAATGCAGTGATAAAATATAAATGTAAATGCGGAAATACATGTTAAAACTAAAGAATTGATTCCCATAGAGCACTAAAGCACAGATTTGCTATCCAATGATGTGAAATATAAGCAAAGCAATAAAAAAAAAATGTTACTTTTCTGTAGTTTTTATACATTGTCCAACATAGACCGCACAGCAAGCCCAAAAACTTGATAGTGAGATGATGTGATACATTCTATTTATGTGTCTAGCTATGGTATTGAAAAAGAATTTTTTGATTTGGTTCATATATTTTTAACTTTGTTGTTGTATTACTTTATTATTTGTACAATCAACCAAAAATTAATGGCTCTGGAATAGTTTCTTTGGGATAACTTTTCTAAAAATCATAGGCTTATCCGACTTAAAATATATCAAGTCAAATTGATACTGGGAGTTCACGTGGGCTCGGTTTGGTTAGAAAGAAAATGATGGAAAATGAAAAAAAATAAAAAATAAAGTGAAAGAAAGGAAGTAGAAATGACTATTTATTTTTTTTATGTGTTTGTTTTGAAAAAAAGTTTGCGAGAAAAAATAGAAAAATTGGTGTAAGGACTTAATTATCCTTATCATATCAATCTAATGGAAAACATAGTAAGTGGACAAAACAGAAAAAATAAGACAACTTTCAGGGGAAAAAAAAAATTTCTCTGCATAATTTGTTGGAAACCAAAATAGATGTTTGCAGGAAAATTTGATACTTGAGGGAAAAAAAATTCTCGAGAAATTGTACTTTCTAGCTAATTAAACAAAGAAAAAGTTGTTTTTTTTTTTTTTTTCATTTTCTTGCACTTTTCAGTGTTTTGACATTAACTAAACGAAGCAGTGAGATTTGCGATTTACTCTTACTAGAGTCAATGCATGGATGGAAAAAGTAACATCACTCATTCATATGGCTAGAGCAAAATCGTACTATAAATCCCATCATAATAAAGCCCTCATGATACAATCAAGGGATTTTTCTATCCCAGTCAATTCTCAACCTTCTTAGCCGAATCTAATGATATCCCAGGTATCCCTTATTTGGATATATAATCGGGTTCTTCGGAGGCCGGTACAGTGGTACACCAAACAAGAATTTTTTTTTTTTTTTCGGAAAGTGAATTGTATTAGTGAAGTCAAATGTACTGGGTAATTACCCACAAAAAGAACAGTGAAGTCGCCTAGGACTTATGACCAAAAGGAAAAAACAATTATGTAAGGGATGCCCTGTAAAGGGTAGGATATCACCCACAGAATTGCAAACAAGAGAACAATGATAATAAAACAGGGAAGACTGTTCAGTTCCGGAACAGCAGCAACCCAAAACAGACTGGAACCCACAACTGCACAGAACAATCAAGAACCCAGCAACAGAGGAGGAAGCAAGCTGGAAGGCACCAACAGCACACATCAATGCAAACAACCATACTGTTGGAAATAAAAAAGACAAAGGCACCAAGAGTTTGAATACAGAGTAAAAAACAGAGAGAAAAAAAGCTACAGCTTTCTCAATTCAAAATGGAAGAAATACTCTGCAATTCTCATGTCATTAAACGGCTGATTACACCCTTTATTTATAACCTAAAATCATAACCACAATGCCTATAAAGTAGCAACTAATTCCTAAATAAAAGCAACTACTACAGACTAAGTCTTCTGCAACTCCACTCCTACTTTCTAGTTAACAGTTAAAGACTAAATCAACATAATTCTACTAACTTAATTAATCACGTTCTGCATCAATTCTTATCACTCCCCTTTGATGCGAAACTGGAAACATTGAGTGAGGACCGAAACTTCACGAACTTCGAATATGAGAGTGCCTTCGTAAACCCATCTGCACTTTGGTCATTGGTTGAGCAATGCTCCATCATTACCATGCCTTTAGCAACAGCTTCTCGAATGAAATGGTGTCGGAGTTCAATGTGCTTTGTTCTCCCATGAAAGACCGGGTTCTTAGTCATAGAGATGGTGGCCTTGTTGTCACAATAAATCTTTGTGGTTGCTCCTTGAACTTGATGTAAATCCTCCAAAATTCGCCGCATCCAAATTGATTGACACGTTGCAGATGAGGCTGCTATGTATTCTGCCTCTGAAGATGATAATGCAACACTTTCTTGTTTCTTTGAAGACCATGACACAGCCCCCGAGCCAAGAGTGAATATAAACCCACTCGTGCTTTTCCTATCATCCGCAAAACCTGCCCAATCACTATCAGTAAAACCAATTAAACTGAATTCAGCAGCTGGTTTGTACCAAATCCCATAATCTCTAGTTTCCCGTACATAGCGAAGGATTCTCTTTGTTGTTCCGAGATGATGCATGGTTGGTGTATGCATG